TCAATTCAAAAGCCAACTGCTAAAATTCTCTTTGTCTTCAAAGACTAGACTTATTTCCCTCTAAGACAATATGAAAACCAGTTTCATTTCAGCTTTTCTCAGTGGATCCAATCTTGGCGCTGTGGCCAAGAGAATCTCCTCCCTGATTTGCTGTCATGCAAAACAGCTGGTCAAGCTCTTCATTAAAGTACACTTATGCTGAAGACACATCCATATCTGTCCAAGACTCAGTTTCCCATTCCCATCCTTAATTTGAGTGGCTTTTTTCAATCACTGGACCACTGAGTGAGGAGATTAATTTAACCCTTTATTATCAGGTACTAAATTCTACTTTTTCTGAAATAGTGTTACTTCAAAGCTATTATTTAGATGGGAAGGCTCCTAACAGCTTTGAAAGAACACAGTAACGTTAAATAAGGTTTTACGTACAAAATGTTCAATTTCAAGATGCATGTTCCTTGTATATTTTTGTTTGCAAGGATGAAAACAACTAGGAAAATTAAAATCAACTTGCTCTACATATCTGGATTATGCTCAGCCAAATGTTGATATCATCTTGGATAAAAATGTAAACATGACAAAGTTTGTTTTTCAGTCAATAAGTCTTGATAAAAGCTTTGAATTGCTACCAACCAAAACCAGTTTTTAACTTTAAGCTGGGGTCAGCAAACGTTTTTCTATAAAGGAACAGTTAGTAAATATTTTTAAGCTTTGTGGGCCACATATGGTCTCTGTTGCATATTCCTCTGTTTTGTGTGATTTTTAAAATAACCCTTAAAAAAAATGTAAAAATTATCCTTAGCTTATAGACTGCAAAAAACAAGCTGCAGGCCACATTTGGCGGATGGGCAACAGTTTGTCCACTGCTGATTCTGAGGAAAGAGAATCCAAGAAAAAAAAAAAAAGCAATGTTACAGAATAAAACATCTATAAGTGCTCTGGTGAGATGAGGCTGAAACAATTACCAGCAGATACTACTATTAATGTGATTTCATTAGTGATTTTGCACATGGAAGGAATTTTAATGACAAGATGGCTTTTGATCTCCTGACTTGAAACTACAAACACAGAAAGAAAGGGCAAAGGACAACTATAGTATGCTGATATATCCCAGTATCAACTCCTATAGCACTCTGAGTCATTGTATGAGCATTTGCTATTTCCCTGAACAGATCTGGCTCTTAACTTTCCTCACATAAAAGCTTAGGTACAAAATCTAATTCCTCCCTGCAAAAGGTGGTGACTTAAATTTATGGAGATGGTCATACTGATCAGAAATAGCAGTAGGTTGACTGAAAAGTGACACAGACTTGGATTTAAGGTTCACTGGAGGCTCTGCTACAACCAGAGGTGTGATCTTGGCAATGTCAACTTAACCTTAGTTTTCTTATTTATAAAATTGGGGCATGGACATAAAGTAGATAATTTCTCAGACTCTTTCTGCTGTCAAACTATGACTATACTAAAATGAAACCACTCAGGAAATACCCTAACAGGAAGAAGGGGGCAGGGCAGGGGAAAGACACCAAAGGAAAGAAGCTTAGATTGTCCCGTTAGAGGAGAGGGCTGGGTTTTCTTTTTGTGTTACTAGTACCTTGTTCAGTATAGGCCATTCCAAGACATCAAGATGCCCTGGCATCAATATTAACACGCATCCACGTCCCACAGGAAGTACAATACATAGCTAGCTAACTGTGTTGCTGTTTCCTAGTTGTCTTAATGTTACATTTTACAGGCATTTAATTAAACATTAATTATGATTATGTAAGGGGTTTGAGAAAGCCAATCGAAAAACTTTTTTTCAGTTCTCAAACATCTGAACTGAAAGGCTGGTGCTCCTAGGCACTGGGCCTACAATTTCAAATGGATAAACTATCCCTACTCAACAGTTGACACATATCTGACTGATACACTGGAAGATTCCAAGTCAGTCAGTTGAAAGAAAATGTACCCTCCACCACCTCAACAGCAGAAATAAAATGAGGGGAGCCAGAATATCAGCGAAGATAGCAGAACCTTAGAGAAGTAAGAAGAGAGTATCTGTGAAACAACTGTATCTGCATTCAAACTGACTAATTGTCTCCATCCTTTCACGATAGCAGAACCCTTATTGAAACAGTGTTTAAAGATGGCAAGATGCCCCTTTTTAAAACTACTTAAACTTTGACAAAGCAAAATTAAGACTTAAAATATACCTTCATAAGAAGAAACAGGCGCGTAGTATAGGTATCTACCAACACACACACACACACAGAAGCATTAAGAAATGGATCTTTCCTGTGACGTAAGCCTTATCAAGTTTTGTCAGCAGTGCTGTGGCAGAGCTTGTCAAAACCTAGTCAGAAAAACCCAGGAACTTACACACCTAGGTGCTTCAAGAAACAATGACTGGGAGGAGACGGACCACCAACTCTCACCTCAACAACTTCAGATCACCTGGAGATGGGATGGGGTGGGGGGTGGTTGAAGGGGTGGGATAGTGCTCCTAGAGATGTGGACACTCCAAGCCATGTCTGTGGTCAGTGAAGACGGGGTGGAAATGTTTACCAGAATGGTATTAACATTCCCTTTATTTTCCTAACTTAATTTCAACTGCATTAGGTTTCAGATATATAAATTCTTCTGCTGTTGGAAGGTGTGCTACCACTTCCTGTCGGGGCTAAACAAGTGGCATGGAAGGTTTCCCCTCCTCCAAGTCAACTGAAAACACAGCTCAGAGCTTCTCTTCACCACATCCACCCCACAGAAAATAGAAAGACCAAGATTATTCATGAGATTCACCCCATTTAACGTCTACCACCTGTTCCAAATGGTTCCAGGACATAGTTTTTCATGGCTTAATAGCTGCAACCCTCCATTGAACCGAATTTTTATCATTAAAAAAAGATCCTAATCCTTCAGAATGACAAGTAATTTTGAAAAGCTACTATTTTAAAAGGAAGCAGTCACACTTATAGGAAATATGGGACGAAAATTAAGGCAAAAAGAGGAAACTAATAAAATTATTGCAAATAAGCAAAAGGCACCCAAGGAGCTTAATAGAAACAGCTATGAGACTCACTCACTTTCAAAGCAGGAGAATGCTTCTGAGAGGGTCACACAGAATGGACAAAAGACTGCCCACTCTACTTGTCGGAAATTGTCCATTACCAACTGGACTGCAGCATGCATTCAACAATGAAAAAGGGTTACTCAGGGTTTTGAACTTAGTACCAGCATCTAAAATACCCTTTAGTTGCTGTAACAGCTCCCACCAAATCTCTTAGTATACGTACAACGTGACATTTAAAATCTGCTTCCTCAGAAAAGAAAAAGTCCCACTCAAGACTGACTGCCAAGAGCCTGCAATTCAAACTTCCCTAAGCCCAGACATCATAACACACAGGTTTCAGACCACTCAATCCATATGAAAGAGGCCAGAATAAACAAACCAACCATAGCCTTTCCTAGCACTTGATTTGAAAGGTGCTCTATACCCAAATACTTTTTTTTTAAATGATAAATTAGTCTTAAGACATACAAATAATCAAATATACTTATTACCACAGCACTAGGCCCCTAATAATCCCAGAAATTCATGGTGAAATACGCTGTAAAAACTATTTGAAAGATGTTTAAGTGAGCTACTATTAGAAGCCACAAACATCACCCAGACAACCAAAAGCAAAGAATCGTAAGGTACTTAATTGACCTGCAGCTACTTAACAACAGCAATGATGTTAAGGCCACTCGTATAAGTAGCTTAAAATCATCTTTAATTTGTGCTTCAGTTTATGGGAAGTTAGAGAACTTGTTACCTGAACACCAAGTCTTCCAGTACAACAGTAGGAAGGACAGCTCCCAGACAAAACAAACAAAAAAACCCCTAAATCAATCGACAGTAATTGGGGGGTATATTGTATGATGTGATTCACTGAGCAAGTACTAGTTAACACCAAAGCAAAATATACAGGGAAACAGGTAGAATCCTCAGCTGAGAACTTATTAAATATTGAAGCCCAAGAATTTAAAAACTTGAGAAGTGTTGTTTCTCAGGAGATGTTAGTAAAGAAGCGAACCATGTTTTCCGGACCACACCATTCCCCCAAGTCACCAATTCTCTTAGTACCTGTTAACACTCACAGAACAGTTTACTGCTCCCCACAGACATCCTTCCATCATTAGTCACTTTTTCTCTTTCTCCTGCACTTGAACCAAAGGAAGCAAGGAGAGAAAATGGTAACCAGCGCTCCCAGTTACTGAGGAAAGTCCTGCTTTCCGTTTCCTCTCCCTTTCCCACCTCTGGCTTCTCTGCTCAACCTCTCTACTGTGTATTCTGCTTTCCTTTTCTCTTTTTATCTCACGCTCAGCTTGCCTTTCCTTTCTCCACCAAGCATCCTCATTCCAGCCTCTGGACCCTTGAACTCTTCTCCTACCTACAGTTTTCTGCCCCCTCCCATGACATCTCTGTCCAGACCTCCTGTGCCCCCCATCCCTCACCTCCTGTCACTCATTCACCTGAATTCCCGACCGATGGCCGGGTTCTCACCACTCTTGTCTCCTGTGTCCTCTGTTCTTTTACTTCACGTCCCTCACATCCCCCCAGCCCTTCATTTCCCTCTTTCACATTTCCTTCTTATTTCCAGTCTTTTAATCCATTTCACACCCACTAATCCTTTCTCTCTCTCTCCACGAGATTTCCTGTGTCCCCCCCACTGTGTCCCTCTAAGGCCCTTCCCTGTCATTCCCCCAACCCTCTCGTTTTCCCCAATAGCCCTAGTCCTTGTTCCTCCTTCCCCTTTCTTTGCCCCCAAGTTTCTCCTTCACCTCCCAGCCTCACGTCCCCGCCCGCCCCTCTCCTTCGAGTCTTCGCCACCCTTTCCCACTGCCCTCGTCGTCCTGCCGTCCCCGGAGTACTCTCCCTGGGGCTCCCAAGCGCTCCTCCGCCCCACTCTCCCGGGCCCCCTCGCACCCGCCCCCCGTTTCCCACTCCCCGTCCCTGGCCGCGGCCCCTCCCTCACCGATGGTGGAAATGAAGGTGGTGTTGAAGGCGTCCTCGGAGAAGCGGAACAGGAGGCAGGTCTTGCCTACCCCCGAGTCGCCGATCAGCAGCAGCTTGAACAGATAATCGTATGTCTTCGCCATCTTCTCACTCCGGCCCTCTGACCGGGGAGCGAGAGGAGCAGCGGATCGAGGCGGGGAGGGGGCCGCGGGCGAGGGGGCGTGCCCGCCGAGGCGCCGCCGCTCGCTCCGCCCCGCGCTCCTCCCCTTCCCTCGGAGAAAGCCTGCGCGCCCCGCCCCGCGTGGCCAATCCGCGGGGGTTTTGTCATTACCTCCCCGCGCCCCAGGGCTTCATGGGACTTGTAGTTCCTTCGAGGAGCTTCGGGCGTGCCCGTTGCTGGTTGTCTGGACTGCCCCAGAAGATAAAAGAAAATCCGCTTTGGGCGGGGTGACCGGGTAGAGTAGGTGTTCCCACCTGAGCTAGGAAGGGAGGCCGGGTTTCGAACTCTGAGCGTCGCGCCGCGGGTACTTGACTTCGTGTTTCTTTGTGTGCGGAGCCTTTCAAATCCAGGACCTCGGAATCGGAGTCCTTGCGGTTTCCGCATCTCTTCCGCCGGGACACGGAGCTGAGATGCTTTCTTTCCTTTTCGGTGCTGTGGCGCAGCCTGCGGATTATCTGCAGAGTGCATTATCTGGCTTCACCTCCTGTTCCTGCCCAGCATCACCTCTAAGCCCTCTCCGTAACCCCTCAGTTACGGAGCTCGAAAAGAACGATTGCCGTTCTAACCCCGCTCCTCTTTTCTTCACGCCTCCAGACGAGATCCAAATATGATGGGTATTTTAGAGGATCTGCCATACAGACTACTACCGTCCCCCCGCAGGAGGATGGATTAAAAAAATCTGGGAATTGAAAATATTAAGGGTTATGCTACTTAACCCTTAAGGGCACAGGTTATGCTGTGCCCTTAAAAATTGGAAGCATTATGAGGCAGGAACTGTGACTATGGGAATCTGGAGACATATTTGGATTTTGTCTTGGCTCAGCTACTTAACTGCACAAAGGTTCTCTGCACCTCGGTTTTCTCATCTGTAAAGTGGGTATAAAACAAGTTGTTTCATAGGGTTGTAGGGAAAATTAAATGAGAACCTGAATGTGAAAGCTCTTTGAAATCCATAAGGCATTGTAGAAATGTGAATGGTGATGGTAACCCCCTTTAATCCTCAGTAGGCTGACTCTCACTTAATGGATCACAAATGAAGGGGGGAAACAGCATTCCATCATACTCAATATAATCCTTTAGTTTCCATCTCAGACTATTCTTTGTTTTTGTGGATGTATTGTTCAGGCCTCTTTCATTTGCCAGTGGCAGAAACCCAAACAGATGAAGCTCTTGGAAAAGGAGTTTACTGGCTCAGGTAAAGCCAAAGGACAAGTGAAGAGCAAAGAAGGTCTGGGAAGCGTCATCCAGTCAGGGCTCTCTGTCTCTCATCTCTTCTCCTCCCTTCTCAGTTTTCATTCTAATATGTCAGATACCGACAGATAAGACCCACATGAATAAAATTTCTTTCGGGTCCTCAATTTTAAAGGGATAAAGGGGTCCTGAGGCCAAAATATTTGAGAACCACTGGTCTAGGCATTTACCTTACATCTAAGGAGGTTATGAAGGGAACCAGTGGACTCAACGATTAGTGGAATAAGCAAAAAACTTGGACAGTTAGTTGAACAAGACAGCAGGCTTTTATAAAATATGTCTTGAGAGTTGTGTGGCTTCATGTACAATGACAATGACAGTCCATTCTTAGTTTTGTCATGGAAGACAATTCAGTTGGCCCTGGTATCAGCCTTCACATTCCATGTGGAAAGAACATGAAATGTGCGTTAATTCACACCTATTGATCACATAGTACCCAGAGGGTTGCTGCTAATCTAATATCTAATTCCTAGAGTCCACTTGATGAGAACAAACTCTAAGAAGGTCAAAATCACAGTGCCTGCTGCCTAATCAGGAGGGATTCTGCCCTCTGGCACAGGCTGAAGCCTCCTTGCCCCAGCCAGCTTTTGGGCAAGTCTGTGAACTTGGCCTCAGCAGTGCTGAACTAATGTGGATGGTTCAGTTCTACACTTTCATCTTCATTCTGGGAAAGAAGAAAAAATATCTTCAAATATCAATGGAATCCTCTTTCTTTTGTAAAGTGTGTGCTGATTAAAGTAACTTTTAGTCCCACTAGCTACTTGCAACTGTTGGCATTCTCTTTCTGTATGAATAAGAAAACGCTGATGTGGTAAAGAACTTAAGTTCAGAAGAGAGTCTAGAGTTAGGAATTTTAAAATCCCTAAATTTCCTTAGGGGAATTTTGATAATTGAAGGGAAATTAAAAAAATTCTGTCTTAATTTTCACTTCCCTGGTTTTTCTCTACTACCAATGTGCATAACATTGGGACTTTCTAGCTATAAATCTGTGCACCACTGTTGAACCATTCAAGCATTTTGATATATTAACACTACTTCAAGAAGAATCCAATTTTCTTGGATTTTCTTAATGCATTATTAAATTTCATATTTTGTACAATATGCTGCTTAGAGATGAGATTTTGGTGGTAGTAACAGTACTATTGAATCAAGGTACTTTACTCAAAGGACTGGACAATAGTATACTTGTAGATCCGAGGGTACCACAGGTAACAGGTTGCTGGTTGCCACTTGCTTTCTTTAAGTGCATCGATAGATCCTTTTTAAAGGAAACCACATGAATACTCATTTGCAGTTGCCCAAACCCACCTTTGAAATGCTCCATCACTGCAGACCAGCACATTCAATTTGATTCTGTATTTATTGAAGCCCTTTGGTGAGGTTAACATGTACCTGGCAGCTTGATTTACAGAAATCTACATGTCTAAGGAGTTTACCCTCTGTGGTTTTTGTCAGGCCAGCATTCTTCCCTCCTGTTGTTGGGAAGCTGCTTCTCCCCCAGTGGTGGATGTGAATCATGGGACTTTACTCCTCCAGCCACAGAAGTCGGCATATGACCAGGCTGGGTCAATTTGAGTTCTTCCCTGTGAATTTTCTAATGATGCTGAAAGGAACTCTGTCTGGTGTGAGTTCTGTGTGAGCTTTTGGTTTTGATCACAGCTCTGGTTCATTCTTCTGTATTCTCTTGTTGCTGCCCTCCCCTATATGTTTAGTTTGTCCTCAGCCAGGCTTTCCTCATAGCTAGCAAGACTGCCATGTTGCACAATTCCAGAAGCATTATTCACTTCTTACAGTAGTTTATTCATCTTGGGGGTCAAAGACCTCCAAGAATATACAAACATATTCTTGAGGGTGTGTTCTCTAAGGGAAATTTCAAATTAATTCAAGCATTCTTTAACTGGTTTAAATTGCTCCATGATACTTGAGTGCAAGAGGTCTCACCTTTCTTAATTGCTTAAACGAAATTATATTTGGCTGAGACCCCTATTTGTCAAGGGCTGGCACAACTGATATCAGTCATTATTGGGGCTTTTCTTCCCCTTAATTGTATCCTACAAGAATCCAGGCGCTTACATGGTCCTGAAAAATTAGGGGCAAAGCAGCCTCTGGCCATCAGCCTGCATCCACCAGTGTTGATGTTTCTGCCTAAGCTCTCTTGGGCCCTGGTTCTCTGCCATCTGTTGAGCACAGCTGTCCCGGTGGGCTACAAAGATGTCCTTCATGGTGATTATTTTCACTGTCTGATGACTCAGCCATTGAATAAGTTCTCTCTCTGTTATCGAATAGTTTGTGTACTTCTTTGTCTTCTCCCTTAAAACTTGAGCTGATCGAGGAATGGGGGCATTGCTAATTTCTGTTTTCCCAGCATGCCTAGCATGATGCCTTACACATAGTAGGTACTCAAATTGTATTGTCAAATGAACCTCTGACTATCCTGCCTGGGATACCTTCAGTTTATTATTTGCTACAAGACCTAGGTATTTTTGGCCTCACCAGTATCTATCTTTCTGGCTGTACTGCATAGAGAGTTTGTATTTATATGTTATTCATTCTCTAAGTATACTATTCATTGTTGTGTTTAAGAAATTAGTGTGATTATATATTATTTCTCTAGCTTGTCAAGATCATATTGAATGATAACCCCTCACAAATACTAATTTCTGTTTATCACCTGTGTGTCATCCAAAAACATGCTATTTGTTTAGTGATAGTCCGGTGGGATAATTCTATAATTATCTTTATCAGAGAGGAACAAACTGTACTCTTTCCACCCACTGATGTTTCCTGAGCAATCACTAGGAGAATAATGTCCACTTAAACAAATATTCATTAAGTTCACACTGTAAAATCAGCTCAGCAAGGCTACCAGGAGAAAAGAACCAACAAGTGAAAAATTTAATGATAAATGAGAGGCAGATATTTGGCTAGTCATTAATTTTGACGGGTCAGATGTCTATTCTGATTGGTTGTTTTAATTTGGATTGATTAGGAATTCATTCTGATTGGTTGGGTGTCCATTTTAATTATTTGGGCATATATTCTGATCATCAGACTTCCAATCTGATTGGTCAAACGTTCATGCTGAACTGATTGTTAAATATTTTGCTTATCACCACTGGATGCAAAAGTTAAATAAAAATGACATGATAGCACAAAAAAATTGCTACACGAAAGTCAGTATCTGGTTGATTAACAAATCTCTATAAACCTTGTTTCTTATAACAAAGTCAACAAGGTGTAGAGGGGATGAGAGAACATTTTGCATCCCTCAGGCCTGGGTTAATGAACAAGACTGAATGGGAGGACATCTATGGCATAGGCCCCTAGAACACAAGCCAGGGCCACGGCCAACGCCCAGATGAAGGCAAAACTCTTTTCTTGGGAGTTGGGATGAGATACCTAATCACATAGAATAGAGAAGAAGCCACCCAAGTTGCAACTCTTCTGAGTGGCCCCATTTCTGGGTAGGGTCCAACCCATAGAAAGAGGAGGTAGAGCTTTGAGAGTTGGCTCAGTATTTTACCTACTGAAGAGTAGAGAGGAAGGAATCCATTCTAACACTTCTTGTATTATTTCTTTCTCTAATAATAAAGTTTCTGACAATAAAATGTTAGTAAAATTCATTTCTTTCATTAACCTAGGCATTGCTATATAGGATTTTGTGTCAAATAGGGCATATGCAGCAAGTACTAGGAGCTCCGAGTAGAGTTTCTTACAAGCTTGAGTGATTAAAGAAAGCCTTTTGGGACCACTTTAAAATGG